TTTTATCCTATGCATATGTCATAATTAATTTATCAATTACTTGATTAATTGAGATTTAAGTTTTTTCCAAGTTTTAATTATAACAGACAGTGCTTCTGTGAACATAAAATATTTTTGTTTATGTGGGTAAGAATTTAGTGCATGTGCAATTATTAGGAGGTAAAATATATGATAAATTATTCTCTCAAATGGTTGTACCAACGTGAGAGAAGAATTTTTTTCTCTTACAGTCTCTTGCACACTTGATATTTTTCAGATTTAATTTTTTTGCAGTAGGATGTGTATGAAATTTTGTCTCATTCTTGTTTAAATTTCCTTTTCTCTAACATTGAGCATGTTATATTTAATGGCCATTTAATGTTTCTTTTGTGAACTGCCAGTTTATATTTTTACTTTTTGATTGTTTATACTGTATATTTTTATTAATTTATAGGAGCTTTTTATATGTTTGGTTGCTAATCCTTGGAATCCTTGGTTATTTATATTCTTTTTTTTTCTTTGTGGAGACATGAAGACAATTTACATTGTGTTTTATGTACAGTTTTAAATTTTAATGTAGTTGAATTTATCAGTCTTTATTGATAGTGCTGTTTATGTCTGTGTAACCTAAAGTCATAAGGAGAATATATATATTTTTTCTATATAGCATGAGATGGGATCTAATTTTATTTTTTTCCAAGTGGATAACCAAATGTCCCTGTACCAGTCATTCAACTGTCTATTCTGTTATCACTTAATGTTTTATTTATTTTTTTAATCCTCACTTGAGGACATTTGTCCATTTTTGTTCAGATAGAGTGGGAGGGAGAGAGAGGAAGAGAGAGAGAGAAACATTGCTGTGAAAGGGACACATTGAGTGGCTGCCTCCCACACGAACCTAACCAGAGAGAATTGCAACTGAGATACATGCCCTTGACCAGAATTGAACCCACGACTCATTGGTCCGCGGGCTGACGCTCTAACCTTTGACCCCCCGCTAGGGCACCACTTAATGTTTTTTTTTTAATTCTCACCCGAGGACATTTTTGCATCCATCTTCAGATAGAGAGAGAGGGAGGAAGAGAGAGAGAGAAACATTGATGTAAGAGAGACACATTGAGTAGTTGCCACCCACACGACCCCAACTGGGGCCGGGCAAACTGCAACCGAGTTACATGCCCTTAGTGGGAACCGAACCTGGGACTCCCTGATCCGTGGACCGAAGCTCTAACCACTGAGCCAAACCGGCCAGGGCCACCACTTAATATTTTATAATGTTGTCTATTTCACATACCAAGTTCCTTTATATCTAAGGCTTGGTTCCTGGGCACTCTGTTCTGTTCCACTTATATATCTATTTATGAATCAATACTAATTTTTTTATTTATCATGGATTTATAATAAGTCTTGATCTCTAGTAGGTCAAGTTCCCCTCTCTTTATTCTTAATATATTTGGAGGGAAGGAGGAGAGTTATTCTGAGCCTTTTACTGTTCTATGTGAATTTGAGGATTGGCTTCTTATATTCCACCAAAAAACCTTGTTGTAATTTTGGTTGGAATTGGATTAGATTGATTATGTTTGGTAAATAATTGACATTCTTATAGTGCATACCACTTCTGGTATCCATTCTGTTTGCTCTATTTCCTGGTGTATTTCCTCAATTTTATATTGCAACCTTTGCTTTTGTGTTTTTAATTTTCAAGAGTTCATTCTTGTTCTTTGACTATACCTTTCTATAGTAGACTCTTTTTGTTTCATGGTTGTAGTATCTTATTTTAACTCTCTGTGGGTGTAAGACATAATTATATTGAAGGTGGTATTTTTTTGTTTGTTTTGTTTTTACTTCTTCCTTGATTGTCTTTATTTTTGGGGGGTCATCATTTTTGTTTTTGGTGTTAGCAGTTTAGACACATAGTCAAGATCATTAAGAAAACAGAAATCCAGCCCTGACCAGTTTTGCTCAGTGGTTAGAGCATCAGCTCACAGACCAAAGAATCTTGGGTTCGATTCCCAGTCAAAAGCATGTAACTGGCCCTGGTCGGGGTCGTGCAGGAGGCACTCGATGGAGGCATTGGACGGTCTCTTTCATATCGTCTCTTCCTCTCTCTCTCTCTCTCCCCCCCTCTCCCTCCCCCCTTCCACGCTATCTAAAAATCAATGGAAAAATATCCACCAGTGAGGATTAAACAAACAAACAAAAAACAACAGAAGTCCAGATTACCCTGATAATGTAAATTTTATCTTCAGATGTATGCTTTTCACATAAAGAAAACTCGACAGATTTGAGACCCTTAAATAAAATATAAAAATAACACCAAGTCATTAGTTTTAAAATTGCTTTCAGAAAACTCTCATATCTTTGCTTTGTTTTATTAATCTAATTAACTGAGCAAAATAATTTACTCATTAAAATCCAAAGTTTTAGAAGTATTATATTATTCTAACATTCCAACAAAATTTTTTGCTAATTTTTTCTTGTAAATTATGAGAAGAATCAAATTTGTATAGTAGTGCTAGAAAATAGAGATTAATTTTCTCTTTTTAAAGGTAATTGATTCTTTAGACTCTTTAGTTATTAATTCTTTGTAGTAGAGTTTAAATAATTCTAAACTCAGACACTTGCCTTTGAAATTCTGATAACTTGAAATGTTATATCTAGCAAACTTTATATGGCTTTCAAAATCTATTTGAGCCAAAGAATTAGATGTTTGATTGTCCTTATTTTCTCTCAGCGTTTGGCCTATCTGTTTGTAGCAATCTCGGAGTTTCACACGAGAATCTTTCCTCAGATGTCTGATGATCCTGGCCTGTGTGTTCTTATTTAAGAATGAGGCACTAAAAAGCTGAGAGGAAGCTCTGTGTATGTGGAATGCTTCCATTTAATTGGGGAGTTTTGATGATATGTTATAGAATTGTACACCTGAAACCTATATAATTTTATTAACCAATGTCACTGCAATAAATTAAACAAAAATCAATAAAAATATAATTGGGGAATTAAAAAATATGCTGGTATTTATACCTCTTTTCTCCTGGACTGGTAGTTTCTTCACAAAGGAATATTCTTGTCTCCTCCTTACGGTGTCTTGATTGTAGGAATCAGTATTATGGGAGCTGAAGAGAGAGAGGGAACTGTGAGATCTCACCACCATTATGCAGATTTCATCTGATCTCTTTAATTTTTAATAAGATGTCTCACCTTGACCCTTATTTGTTTATAATTTTCATGACCTCAGAACCTTTTTGGACCAACCTTTCTAGTTAGTAAACTTTTTCTTTTTCCAGGATAGAGAGGGACTTTTGTCAGGGAGGGAGCTGGCAGAAGTGATCTGAGGGTACAACTAACAGCTGCTTATAAAAACTCTAAAAGTATTCATATTCATTTCTACCCCATGGCTTAAAAAGAGATAGAAGAGATAGAAAGGGCTAAGCAAAATAATTCAGTCAGAGAACGACAAATATCGTATGATCTTACTAATATATGGTATTTAATGAACAAAATAAACTAACAAACAAAATGGAACCAGAAGCATGGACACATGGAACAGCCTGGCCGGTGCCCAAGGCGGATGGGTGACTGGATAAAGAAGGTGAAGGGATTAGCTAAGGAACATATATGCATATTCCATGGACATGGACAATAGTGTGGTGAAGGGGGAGGTGGAGGTTGGTGGAGGTGGGCAAAGGGGGAAACCTGCAATAATGTCAACATTAAAATTTTTTAATTAAAAAAGAAGTCTTAACTGAAGAAAATAATTCTTAAGACTTCATATGTTGTCAGCTATAGAATAGTAATTTTATGAATGAGGGGATGTGGAGAAAGGAATTAAATTTTGTCCTTTATCCATTGACTGTGGACTATACTGCTGGGTACTTTCTAAACTAAAATCCTTAAAAAAAATTTTTTTTTTTCTATATTGATTTTTAGAGAGAGAGGAAAGAGGGAGGGAGAGATAGAAACATCGATGAGAGAGAACATCAATTGGCCGCCTCTTGCATGCCCCCCACTGGGGATTTGGCCCACAACCTGAGCATGTGTCCTGACTGGAAATCGAACAGATGACCTCTTAGTGCATGGGTTGATGCTCAACCACTGAGCCACACTGGCTGGGCTAAACTAAAATCTTTTTATAGAGAATTATATTTGATGTTTGCAATATTCTCACTCAGATTCCAGTGACACCTTTTGAGTGGCTAGGGATACTTGGAAGCATGTATAAATATACATGTTATACATGTTAATATCCTAGAATAAGATTATGCTGGTGAGGGAAAGGTGGGTTAAATAGGGCTTTGCCAAAGCCCTATTTTGAGAATGAAGAATCTAGATTAGTTCCTGTGAAAAATACCTTTTAAATGTGTGTTAACTTTATGTTTGAACTTCCATAGAATTGAACTCTGATTTCTGAGTTTAGTTGAAAAAGGAGATTGAGACATTTCACTAGAAGAGTACCTGTTATTATTTTTCTTTCAGTAGTACAACAAATATTTGAAAAATTAAAAACTGGAGAGAAAATGAAACAGCTATCTAGTAGATGCAGCTTTGCGAGCTATAAGCATAAAGTACCATGAGCTCTTATAACAATCTCTTATGAGTCATTATTGGGTATTCAGGCCAGTCATTCCTTGTCACCCAAAGGAGCAATATCCACTTGTATTACTAAATACTTTAAAATTTTAATGAGTGGGGAAACATTATGTATGACAGTTGAACTACAGCTTTATGTAAATATCTTCAGAGGTTATTTGAACTAGAATAACATTTTAGTAAGCTATACACATTTCAGTTGTAATATGTATTAATTAGATTTTTAAAAATTGTAAACCTCCAGTAGTGCTTTTACAATACATGTGTATTCTGAAACATTGCTGGAAATATCTTGGCCTCTCTGACCTATGTAAAGTAACCTATTATTCTGATTGAAGCACAGATTTAGTTACTCTTCATCTACCATAGAATATGTTTTAGTCATTATTGCCTTATAAATGCCATTAATGCAAAAATGAATTATTTTGCAGGAGCAAGATAATGCTGTACAAAATATGCACAAGAAAGTAGAAAAATTAGAAGCCGAACACATGGACTGCTCTGACCTTTTACGGCGACAAACAAGTGAACTCGAATTTAGCACTCAAAGAGAGGAATGCCTTCGAAAAGAATTTGAGGTATATTTTCTCATTCTTTTATAAAATATATATGTTATCCAGTCAGTAATTTCAGGTCAGAGAAAGTTTTATTGTGCAATAAAATATGAAACTACTTTTTTAGCATTTATTTATATTGAATATTTAGCATTTTGAAGACTTTTGTATCTAAGTACATTATATTTTGTTCCTAATTTTAAAAATCTAACCATTTTTAACATTATTTCTCATGAAATATTTGGAGTTTTAGGATAATTGTTTACATTATGAGGTTGAGGAAGCAATGCAGGAAAAAAGATTTTGTATACATAATATTGAGTTCTAATTTTGTAGTTTGAATCATGAATACTAGCTGTATGATTTTTTGGAATAGTTCTCAGGTAAGACTAGATGAGAAAGGAACATTAGTTTACAAATGAAAAATAAAAATACCATTTTTGTGAGTGATTAATACTGATAATCATGCCCTGGCCGGTTTGGCTCAGCGGTTGGAGCATTGACCTGCGGACCAGAGAGTCTCAGGTTCAGTTCCCGCTAGGGGCACATACCCAAAACAAAACAAAACTGATAATCAGTTTAATTCGTCTTGAGAGAGACTGAATTTATTTGTTAATTTTACTTCTTTTAAAATTTTCTTTTGCTTTGTGGGAAATTAAATATTTTACTAGATAAGGAAGTTTGTCCTAAATGTAATTTATAATTGTTATTAGGTAAAAAAATCGTTATAAAGAGTATTTACTGATAAAATGCTAGAGGTACTCTCATTAAACTCACTACTGTCATTTAACATTGTATTGGGAATTTTATCCAAAGAAATATATAAAGGCAAGAACAACAATAAAAATTAAAAATTTTGGAAGAAGGAGGTATGGTTTTTATAATTGTAGATATGTTTATAACCTTAAATAGTCAAGAAGATCAACTTTAAAGCTATTAACTCTAGTAAGAATATTCAGCTAGGAGGCCAGAAAGAAAATAATATATGATAATTATGTTTACATTCTTCCATACTAACAACAATCAGAGAATAAAATATTTAAAAAGTTTTGTTTGTTTTTTTTATCACAGTGACAAAAATGGGAATACAATGAACAAAATTCATGAAGAATTATGAAATTTAACTAAAATTCTTAAAAAAGAAAATGGCAAGCCCTGGTCAATTTGGCCCGCAGACCAATGAGTCTCGGGTTGGATTCGGGCCAAGGGCACATGCCTTGGTTGCAGTTTGTCCTAGGCCCTGGTTGGGTCATGTGGGAGGCAACCACTCGATGTAGCTCTAGCACATCGATGTTTCTCTCTGTCTGTCTTTCTCTCTCTCCCTCCCTCCCACTCTATCTGATGATAAATAGAAAAGTATCCTCAGGTGAGGAGTGAAAAAAAGAAAGAAAATGGCAAGACGTTTTGTGAAATCTTAACATTGTAAAGACAAGAATCCTCCTTGGATTATATTATGGGTTAAAGCAGTTCCAATGAAAACCTTAATGGAATTATTTTGGGAAGACAGGTTCTGAAATTCATGTAGAGGGCTAAAGAGTCAGAGGAACATATTAAAACATTTTGATAAGCCTGGCCAGTGTGGCTCAGTGGTTGAGTGTTGACCCATGCTCCAAGAGGTTGCCAGTTTGATTCCTGGTTAGGGCACATGCCTAGGTTGTGGGCCCGATCCCCAGTGGGGGAATCAGGAGGCGGCCAATCGATGTCTCTCTCATCGATATTTCCATCTCTCTCTCCCTCTCCCTTCCTGTCTCTCTAAAAATCAATAAAGAAAATAATTAGAAAAAAATCAAAAAACATTTTTTTTTTTTTAATCTTCACCCGAGGATATTTTTCCATTTTTTGTACAGATAGAGTGGGAGGGAGAGAGAGGAAGGGAGAGAGAGAGAGAAACATCGATGTGAAGGGACACATCGAGTGGCTGCCACCCGCACGACCAACCAGGGCCGGGGACAAACTGCAACCGAAGTTCGTGCCCTTAGCGGAAACCGAACCCGGGTCTCTCCGGACCGCAGGCCGACGCTCTAACCGCTGAGCCAAACTGGCCAGGGCTCAAAAAATATTTTGATAAGAGTTATGAGTGGGGACTTATATTATCATAAGTGAATACATACTGTAAAGCTTCAGTAATGTATCAGTTTTTGTTTTGGTTGTATGCAACAGCACCAACTTTGGTTAACTTAAAAAGAGAATTCAGTGGAAGAATCTTATTCATGGAATCAGAAGGAACGCTGAGAAATCAGGCTTGGAAAGTACATGAGTCCCAGACCATCTCCAGAGGTCTCTGGAGCAGAAACTTTGCAGGCCAGAAGGGAGTGGCAAGAAATATTCAGAGTGATGAAAAACAAGAACCTACAACCAAGATTACTCTATCCTGCAAAGCTGTCATTTAGAATTGATGGCCATATAAAGAGTTTCCCAGACAAGGAAAAGCTAAAGGAGTTCATCAACACCAAACCATTATTATATGAAATGATGAAGGGTCTTTTTGAAGAAAAAGATAAAATATGTGAACAAACAAAATGGCAATGAATACATATCTATCGACAATTGAATCTACAAACAAAATGAACAGGCAGAACAGAAACATTCTCATAGGCACAGAGAACATTTTGTTGGTTGCCAGATGAGAGTGGTTGGAGGAATGGGTGAAAAAGGTGAAGGGATTAAGAAGTACAAATTGGGTGCTAGACTGACAAATCTCAAAGGGAAAGGGGGTTTGGTGGGTGGGAAGAAATAAACCAAAGAACTTATATGCATATATGCATAACCAATGGACACAGATAATAATGTGAGAGAAACATTGATGTTAGAGAGACACATCGAGTGGCCACCACCCACACGATCCCAACCAGGGCTGGGGACAAACTGCAACCAAGTTACGTGCCCTTAGCGGGAACCAAACCTGGGTCTCTCTGGTCTGCGGGCCCACGCTCCAACCCCTGAGCCAAACTGGCCAGGGCTGTTTTGGGTTTCTGTTTTTTTTAATCTTTATTGTTGAATGTATTACAGATGTTTCTCATTTTTTCTCCCATTGACCCCCTCTTCCCACCTCCTGCCCCCCTCCTGCCTTTTCCCACACTGTGTCCATTGGTTATGCATATATGCATATAAGTTCTTTGGTTTATTTCTTCCCACCCCCAAACCCCCTTTCCCTTTGAGATTTGTCAGTCTAGCACCCAATTTGTACTTCTTAATCCCTTCACCTTTTTCACCCATTCCTCCAACCACTCTCATCTGGCAACCAACAAAATGTTCTCTGTGCCTATGAGAATGTTTCTGTTCTGCCTGTTCATTTTGTTTGTAGATTCAATTGTCGATAGATATGTATTCATTGCCATTTTGTTTTCACATATTTTATCTTTTTCTTCAAAAAGACCCTTCATCATTTCATATAATAATGGTTTGGTGTTGATGAACTCCTTTAGCTTTTCCTTGTCTGGGAAACTCTTTATATGGCCATCGATTCTAAATGACAGCGTTGCAGGATAGAGTAATCTTGGTTGTAGGTTCTTGTTTTTCATCACTCTGAATATTTCTTGCCACTCCCTTCTGGCCTGCAAAGTTTCTTTTGAGAAATCAGCTGACAGCCTTATGGGAACTCCCTTGTAGGTAACTAGCTGCCTTTCTCTTGCTGCTTTTAAGATTCTCTCTTTTGTCTTGAACCTTTTGCATTTTGATGATGATGTGTCTTAGTGTGGGCCTCTTGGGGTTCATCTTGTTTGGGACTCTTTGTGCTTCCTGGACTTGTATGTCTGTTTCCTTCACCAAGTTAGGGACGTTTTCTGCCATTATTGTTTCAAATATGTTTTAGATTTCTTGTTCTCTCTCTTCTCCTTCTGGCACTCCTTGTGATGCGAATGTTGGCACGCTTGATGTTGTCCCAGTGGCTCCTTACACTCTCCTCATTATTTTGGATTCTTTTTTTTCTTTTTGCTGTTCTGATTGTGTTTTTTTTTGCTTCCTTATATTCCAAATGGATGGTTTGCTTCTTGGCTTTACCTACTTTACTATTGAATCTGTGTAAATTATTCTCTATTTCAGTTAGTGCCTCCTTCATTTGTGACTGTGCATTCTTCATTTCTGACTGGTCCTTTTTATGCTCTTGAGGCCCTCAGTAAGTTCGCTGAGGTTCTCACTAAATTCATTGAGCATCCTTCTAAGCAGTATTTTGAACTCAGCATCTGATAGGTTGCTTATCTCCATTTCGCTTAGTTCTTTTCCTGTGGTTTTGTTCTGTTCTTTCATTTGGGACCTGTTTCTTTGTCTTCTCATTTTGGCTGCCTCCCTGTGTTAGTTTCTGTGTATTGCTTAATGAGAGGTATGGGGCAAGCTGAGACCAGATGCTGCTTGTTTGAAAGAATTTAGGGCCCTGGCCGGTTTGGCTCAGCGGTTAGAGCGTCGGCCTGCGGTCCGGAGAGACCCGGGTTCGGTTCCCGCTAAGGGCATGTACCCTGGTTGCAGTTTGTCCCCAGCCCTGGTTGGTCGTGTGGGTGGCAGCCACTCGATGTGTAGCTTTCACGTCGATGTTTCTCTCTCTCTCTCCCTCTCACTCTATCTGAGCAAAAATATCGAAAAATGTCCTCAGGTGAGGATAAAAAAAAAAAAAAAAAAAAAAAGAATTTAGGAAAACCTGAAGCAGGATCCAAGACAGGCCAATCCTATGGTTAAGCCACTGGCAACAGCTTGGGTAGCTTGGGTGGGCCTGAAAGTTGGAGTGAGGGGGGGGCTCAGAGAATCACCAGGGTGGGGCAAACAGCGTGAGTGAGGTTGCTGGAGTCCCAGATATGGCCACTGTCTGCTGCCCCAGGGAAGGACTCACCAAAGGAACAAAGGCCTCTGACACATGTTTGTCCCGGAGAAATCCCCCTCTCCAGCCCTCGCTCCAATGCCAAACAGCTCAGTTCTTCCCTGTATGTCTCTGGCACCCCTTGAGCTGCCTCCCCTCCAAGCTTAGAGGGAGAGAGTCTGATGATTCTGTGCGCGGGCCCTTTAAGAGGAGCTTCCTGGGGCTCCAGCCGCCTCAT